GTGTCAGAAAACGCGTCAGAGTTAGTTATCACCGTGGACCACTCGTAGAGCGCCGCGTGTCCTCCTTTCACGTGCTGGAGATTCTCTTATATATTCCGATGCTCGACCAAATCAGTAGCGAATGCTGAGCTGTCCCTGAGGTATGAGGTGGTCGAGTCCACAACCACGCCTGTCCGATCATCTTTCCTCGACCAACTCCTCGAGCTACCGGTGCTAGTCTGATGCTACTGAACCCGCTCTTCCTCGTCGTCTACCTTATTTCCTTAATTGCTGATGCCCATTCCAGTTCGACCAGGCCGCTGGTCTATTCTATTCGGCTAACCCGATGAATCGGTCTAGTATACAATATCCCATTATCACTAGTGTAGTCACGGTTAGCTGGAACCGTACCAGACGACCAAAAACTTCTCCCAGACGGACGCCTCTGTTGCTGGAACCGGAGGCAAACTGACGACCCCCCAACCCCTCCCACCGACAGCACTCACAATCCCAGTCGACCCAATCAACCGCACCACCTACCAGCCTCCAAAACCTCCCGTCAAACCACTCGACCAAGCCCACACCACCAAGCCCCATATGCTCAACCACCCAAGCAAGACTAGACCACCAAATCAGAGTCGGAGAGACGAAGAGAGGGGAAGGGAGTCTTACCTCAACCCCGACCAACGCCTTGAAAGCGGGCTGGAGTCCGATGAGCAAGCCTGACTCAAAAATCGAAAAGTTCTGCGTAGCGACATAAGCGCCTTGGATTTGGCGAGCCCTACACCGGGGGGGTCTTCAACTCCTCTCTTGAGCACCGCGGCCAGCGGCGGCCAGAACCGGGCCGCTCATACCTATGGAAAAGAGGCAACGACGACGATGGAAGGACTCTGCTCGAGTTAGGGATTTGCAGAGAGAATTTTTGGGGCTTTTTTTTCAGTTCCTCTGAGCTTCAAAACTCAATTACTGTTTAAGTTTAAGTACATAATTCCGTGCATGTTTAATGGAGACGACATATGAGATGTTATTTGAATTGAATTAATCATAATACAACTCAATTCACCAACTGAAATCTTATACCTGGTTCGTTCTTTTAGTTAAACAAGTTGAGTTTGATCAATTAATCGATTTTGTTCCCAATTAAATCATTTATAATATATATATATATATACACACATCGAACAACCATATCATGTACGTGAACAACTCATTTATAATTTTAATATTATTAAACAAATCAAGCCAAACATTCACAAGTTTAGACTTTAAATGAACTAGTATTCGTTCCTGTGCACTTAGAGAACAAAAACTTATATATTATATGTATGTATATGATGTTTAAAAATTTAAATTATATAAAGTGTGTACTACATTTTAAAATTTTGACTATATGTAAATGTGTAATATAAATATAAATTATTTAACTTTTATATAGGAATATTAGTTGTAAAATAATTTAATATTGTATATTCAAAAAATTAAAGATCTTGTAAAGTTATTACATAATACAAATTAGTACTAATAAAGTTTTAGTTATGTAACTATCATTTGAACACTGATCATAAATATTTTTATTAAATGAAATCTTATTTTTATTAATTGCGGACGGAATAAAATTGAGCTAACTCATTTATTAAACGAGCACAAGTTAAACTCAAAAATCTAATACACAAATTATGTACATTTCTAGTATAATTCTTCCTACTCTCCAAAATTTCACCAAAAAGTACATTCACTTTCAGCACGGTGGTGCACGAATGCCCAAACGACGTCGCTTTAAAGGTTTGTTCCTCGTTTTCTAATAGCACACACCTATACATACACAAACATCTATACATACACAA